GCTTTCGGGCTTGAACTGATGGTAAAACTAATGACATTATTTACGGTCTTTACATTTATTTTGAAAGATGAAGCTCGCGATTATGGTAATGGGCATTCAATTTCCGACGAGTGCTTGCGGTGTTCGGCCAATCACAATGCACTGGGTCAGCTGGCCAATCAGAGCAGACTGCGCTTGTCGGAAGGAGGGACTTTGTAGAAAACTAAGCGTTTGAGAGAGGCGGGGCATAGAGGACCTACAATAATGTACAGTATTTGAAAAATAATGTGTTTTTTGAACATTAAAGCATGTCAACATATTCTGTTACACCAAATAATGATCTTTAAAAAAGCATCATATGACCCCTTTAATATAAAAAAAATATTTAAAAAACTAATAAAAGAGACAAAAGGACACAACAAAATGACCAAATAAATAATTCTAAAATACCACTCATCAATAGCTCCTTTAATCCCAAACAGTGTACATGACATCAGATGGGAGCCCACCTGTGTACGGCACACCTCCTGCAGCTTAAGAAACTTCTCCATAAGGATCTGGTTGATTTTCATGAGCACCACGTTCATGCCGTCCCGATTCACCAACGTCAGGTCTCTGTAGCACTGCAGGACACAACACTGTTAATGGTGGGATTCTGGGAGAACAGTGCGAGTAGAAGAGCTTTCTGTGACATGCATGTGAATCAGATCTCGTGTAAGCATCAACGTACCCTCTGTGCTTGTGGGGGCTCTGTGAGCAGAAGCATGAAGAGACCCAGACACACCTCCTCATGCTGCTGTGGACTCTTACACACCTGAACACACACACACCATCTCCATTAAACAGCATCATCATCATTCAAAATAAAGAATGTTTCTTTAAAGCAGGGGTGTCAAACTCAATTCCTGGAGGGCCACAGCCCTGCAGAGTTTAGATTCAACTCTAAATAAACACACCTGATCCAGCTAATCAAGTCCTTCAGGCTCAATTGAAAACTACATGGTTTGTGTGTTGGCGCAGGGTTGGAACTAAACTCTGCAGGGCTGCGGCCCTCCAGGAACTGAGTTTGACACCCTTGCTTTAAAGCGTTCTCAAATTGTTTTGGAATTTTATTTTCGTCCTTTTAGCCACTTTTATTGATCTCAAATTTCAAGTCAGTCATGAATGAAATGTTGAAGAGAAGAAAGCGGAGTCGGAACAGGAAATTACAAGTTGCAGGAAAATTTAGATCCCATTTATCTCACGTGAGCAACACGGCTCAATATGCATTAACCAGCAGACCTTGGCTAAACGTCATGCTGTTCTTCTTTCGGATAAAAAAAAATGTTTCTTGAGCAACAAATCAGCACATTACAATGATTTCTGAAGGATCATGTGACTCTGAAGACTAGAGTAATGATGCTGAAAATTCTGCTTTGCATCACAGGAATAATTTACATTTCAACACGCATTCAAATAGAAAACAGTTGTTTTAAATTGCAATAATATATGATAATATTACTGTATAATTTATCGAATGAATGCAGTCTTTGGTGAGCATAAGAGACTTCTTTCAAGAACATTACACAGTCTTACTGACTCCAAACTTATAAACAGTAGTTCAGCAACAGATCTTCTAGCAGAAGGATAAAGCTTAATCCGTTTGCTTTAATAACTTTTAATGAAAATTTCCATCCTTCATATTATGTAGTAACTGTTTTATAAAATAGTTTAGACAGCCACAGCTGAAGTAATAGCAGAGAATTTACAGTATGTGCCAAAACAAAACCTTTCTGCCACAGCATTTCTTAAAGTATAAAAGGCATTCGCTGGAACTCCACATTATGAATAACAAAGGAAATGAAACCCAATTTCTGATTCATATGAATTGCATGTGTAGGATAACAGAGGTCCCATACTTTTTGAACAGTGACATTTTCTTCATTTACAGCTGACTGATAACTGGTGGGGGGAAAAAAACCGAACAAACTTTTTTTTTTTCATTTATAGAGAGTAGTGGAGCAGAAGATGTCTGTTTCTATGTCAAGTGCTACATTTAAATGACCATATTTACTATACAAATGTCACCAATCATGGTCAACAGATATCTTAAAGTTATGTAGACATGGTGTGGTTTACACGAGCACTCAAAAAGAACATCATACAGGTGAGTAAACAACTAGAAAAAAGTTAATTCATTTTAGCCTTTTCCTAAATTCTATTATTTTCCCAGGCCTGAAAATCACAGCTTTAAAATGCCACTCTATGTCCAGGCTTTAATGCTGTGTGAATCCTGATGTGTTATTATAAGTGGGTGTAACTGATAAACTCACATGAGCAGTGAGAGCATCATTGGCTTCTCGCTCTGACAGTCCATTGGTTATAGATGTAGTGATGCTCACACACCTCTCCAGGCGCTGAAACACACACACACACACACACACACACACACACACTGGTGAGTACATTACAGAGCAATATGAATGCATGCAATGCCAAAAACAAAATAACACTGCAGATCCCAATAATAGTTCATGCATAAATAGTCTAATCTCAATTAAAGGCATGACTGCATACATTTTTAATACCTCCCCCAGCAGAAAGAGACTCACTGACACCATCAGCTGTCATTCAGTACATGTATGACATGATAACATCGTTGTATGTTCAGCACACATCATGTTTACACCGTTGCCACAACTCCTTCATTTATATTCGAATCAACAAATAAGACTATATATAATAAAGTCTATATATATATATAAAGGCAAATAATAACAAAAGACTACAAAAGCCATCCCTGCAACTTCTCCATTCTGCTTGCCCTTTTGTTATTGTGCTTAGTTTCCCCATGTTTTCTTCGCTAATGTGTGCTGTGAAGGACGCGCTGACACGTATGTAGACGGCCGATGGGAATGAGTCGAGCCCTACCTCCTCCAGCTCATCTTTGGCGTCCAGGCTGGTGGACACCAGAAGGCGCCCCTGCGCTTTACCCTTAGCCGGCGAGGGCTCCATCTCCTCCCGCCTCGCTGCGCCCACACACACGGGACCCGACGGGGGTTTAGGGCGCTGTTTGAAACCCTTCTCTCACTGTTTCCGTGGGTCTGAGGGGCTTATGAACTAGTTAACCCTCTCTCCGCCCAGTCCTAGGCGCCTACAGTGTGTTTACGACTCTTAATTCGCCACCTTCGCGCGACCACTACAGTGTTTCCACAGTGTCCGACTGTAACAATTCAACTTCCGCAGGGCATGGTGGCTTAGCGGAAGTGTTCCGAACGCGGAGTGAAGGCGGAGCGGAGTGACTCATTTATACCAATCGCGTGCTGGGTATTTTGATTGACGTGGCAGTTGACCAATCACGGCGATGGCACTGTCAGCGAGACCCGTCAGACAAAAAGAAGCCCGTGGCGTGCAGCTTGACTAGAACGCTGCTTCGGTGTAAACATGCGAGGAGAAGCTCAGACAGACAGTAAAGTAAAAGGTTGGGATGCTGCAAAAGAACCTGGACAAATGCGTACTTACTTTTAAATGTGTTAACAGCAGACATTTAGTCGTATAGGGTCTCTCCTCTTAACAAGAACAAGCAATATTATTCGAATATTAATATATATATATATATTAACTAATAATATATATAACTATTATAATTAATGTAATAATAACAAAAATAAAAAAACTATAATTTTATAATTATTATTTTAATATAATTAATCATAATAATACATTATAACTGCGTTGTATACACACACACACACCACACACACACACACACACACACACTGCAATATTTCTGTTTACATAGTCTAAATCTGTTCATGTAATCTCTCCTCTGAACAAGAACAAGCAATATTATTCGAATATTAATATATATATATATATATTAACTAATAATATATATAACTATTATAATTAATGTAATAATAACAAAAATAAAAAAACTATAATTTTATAATTATTATTTTAATATAATTAATCATAATAATACATTATAACTGCGTTGTATACACACACACACACCACACACACACACACACACACACACTGCAATATTTCTGTTTACATAGTCTAAATCTGTTCATGTAATTAAAGGACACTGCAATCTTTTATCTTTGACGAGATTACGATTTCACTACCTTCACATTCTGCTTCACACCAACTTTACAGCAGAAAAAAACATGTTTACAGCCTGGTCCAAAAAATTATTTTGGTCTATATAGCTGATTTTGCCCTTCATGACAACTTGTGAGGGGGTGAATTTTTTTTATAACTCATCCATTTAAATTATATTAAGCCTTAAAGTTCTGCATAATTAAGGGCGTGGCCACTTGAGTGACAGGTGGATTGCCGCTGCTGTCACCACCGTCGAGCTCGGTGGGCGTGGCTTCAGTAACCTGCTCCCGCCTCTTTGCCCATTTTCGATTATCCGGGAGTGACGCGCTGCCAAGATGGCCACGGCTGGCTCCGCCCACTTTAGGCTTCAAAAACGCTCTTCGGAAATCTACTCTATGTATATTACAATATACAAATAAATATATTGTCACATATTTTTCAATATATGAAAAGCAGCAATTCCTAGTATTTAATATATTGTAACATATTAGCACAATATATTATTCTGTATATTTGCAATATACAGTAAATAAATATGTTGATCTTTAATATTCTAAATATTTTCTGTGTGTAAGGGATGGCTTTTCAGTAATATTCACACAGTAAAGCATTTAAGATACATTTATGAAACTGCAAAAATGGAAAACGTAAAGGTTGTTTTGGCAAAGAGAATTGACACGTGGGAATTTATGCCACAATATAATTGAACAGTGCTAATATAGCAGTACTTACCTCTTAGATGCGTTATTCTTTAAAAGGCTGACTTTGTGAGACAAATACATTACTGTACACCTTTAAAAACACAAGAATTAGTGAAGAAGGCTCAGTGTTTTTAATATGTTTATTTGACATAATCCCCCTCCCCTCAAACATAATAAAAACACAATCAATTTAAACTTCACTTAAAGTCTTTGTAGTAATATATATCAATATCCCCACAGACCCAGCTATTCAAACCACACACAGAAGACAGATAAAACAATACAATCATTATTCATGCCCTCCCAACAGGACAGCAAGAAGAGCTGCTTCTTAAAGAGTCTGATATTATCAGTCAGGATCTCATGACACAGGACGCCCATGTGCTGCACTGCTACAGTTTGACTGACAGTTGTCACAGCAGAAGATAAGTGATGTGGAAAAACATTGCATTTATTTACATCATTGACATTCATGTTTATTTCAAATATAGAGCAGCGTGATTAACAAAGCCTTTAATGCCATCAGATAATCGTTGGACTGTTTCCTCTCAGATGTACTGTATGCAGTCATCAGCACAGGAAGTGGATCAAAGATTTCGGATTGTACTGAAATGTAACAACCATCCCAGAGGACTCTGACCCGGTGAGATTCGATGGCTCAGCAGGTATCATCACGACAGGGAACGTTTCTGTCCACATCCTCATTATCTCAGCTTAGACACAGGGAGGTGAGCAGCACAAGCTTTCAGAATGGGGAAGAAATATAAGATTTAACTTGATCTTAAAATTGACATTTGCTTCACGCTGGATGGAATTCGGCATAGCTGAGATTTTGACATGTGCAACAGGAAGCTGTTGGTTAGAAAGTTTCATGTTATCAGAACTGAGTGCATATTAATAAAGATGAAGATCTGACAAATCTGCCATGATCTTCAAGAGCTGATTAATATTAAAAGGTGTGTGATGTGTACATGTAGAAATGTTGACGGTGGTTCAACTTTCCAACATCCAAACCTAACAAAGGCATTATGCTTATTGAAAACTAAATAACTGTGCTTGCTCTTATCCATATTCTGAGGAAACTAATTTTTTTTAATAATCCTTCATTAAAAATATATCAATACATAGTTGAGTTACTATAATTGTAAGGTTCCAGCTACTGTTCATGTTTTTTGAATGGATAATTGTTAGAAACTTGGAATTTTAGAAAAAACATGGCAGCAGCTTTGACAGGAAGTACACAGTTTGCTGTTTCCATCATTGCCAGTGTTATTTTATTATAGCTGTATGTCACATACTTTGTTTGTTCTTCAATATTTTGCAAGATAATATAGAAGTGATGATATAGATGTATTTTTGCCATAATCTACTCTACTGTTCAAAAGTTTGGGGTTTGTAAGATTTTTTTAAATAAATCTCTTATGCTCACCAAAGCTGAAATCATTCTAATATGCTGATTTGCTGCTCAAGAAACATTTATTATTATCAATATTAAAAAGAGTTGTGCTGAATAATATTTTTGAGGAAACCATGACATGTTTTTTTTGTCAAGGTTCTTTGATGAACAGCATTTATTTGAAATAGAAATATTTTGTAACATTATCAATTTCTCTGTCTCTTTTGATCAATTTAATGCATCTTTGCTGAATAAAAGTATTAATTTCCTTTAAAAAAAATCTTACCGACCTCTTTTTTTTTAGGATTCCAAGTACATGAATGGATCAGAGTGGAATCTCGTAAATGGAGCACAACAATATTAACCACTAATAATACTTAAATTAAAACCCAATGGATAAAATCAAGTTCCATTTGGAAATATCTCACATTCTGGAAGTTAAAAGTGTTGATGTTTCTTGTTGACTTCATGGGGACAGTAAATCCTGCTATTAAATGAAGACAAGAACATCCCTGTGCTGGTTTCATCCGAAACCATCAGCACAGGAAGTGGACCACAGATTTCGGATTGTACTGAAATGTAACAGCCATCCCAGAGGACTCTGACCCGGTGAGATTCGATGGCTCAGCAGGTATCATCACGACAGGGAACGTTTCTGTCCACATCCTCATTATCTCAGCTTAGACACAGGGAGGTGAGCAGCGCAAGCTTTCAGAATGGGGAAGAAATATAAGATTTAACTTGATCTTAAAATTGACATTTGCTTCACGCTGGATGGAATTCGGCATAGCTTCTTACCGACCTCTTTTTTTTTAGGATTCCAAGTACATGAATGGATCAGAGTGGAATCTCGTAAATGGAGCACAACAATATTAACCACTAATAATACTTAAATTAAAACCCAATGGATAAAATCAAGTTCCATTTGGAAATATCTCACATTCTGGAAGTTAAAAGTGTTGATGTTTCTTGTTGACTTCATGGGGACAGTAAATCCTGCTATTAAATGAAGACAAGAACATCCCTGTGCTGGTTTCATCCGAAACACTATTGCAACATCAATACATGTGGATTTCTGCTGGGAAATGGTCTTGAGATCTGAGAACAAAATCCATCATTGCACATTTCTATGCTTTCGTATTCACACTTGCCATTTATTATTATTTCTGTTATGTGCGTAACTTTCATCTGTGGTTCAAAACCCTCTGCTGACTGGATCGGATATGGAAGATAGAAGAGATCTGAACTGACCTGCATCCCAGAGGAGGACTCGAGAACATTTTGCATGGCTAAAAAAACTACAGCACTGTGTCTCTGCATGACCAATAACATGAACGACAACAAACAGACCCAGAGGACTCCTGATGACTGCTGTAAAAAATCTGGCGAAGACCTATCGCAACAAAACAGAATTCAAAAGTCCTACGAGACCCGTAAACACTCGATCCGGTCACACCAGCAGAAGGTCCGTTCAACTCAACACTCACTGATTCTGCTCAAGTATAGTCTTTTTCTTTTGAGTTTACTTGGCAAAAGAAGTCACAACTGGATTCCCATGAAGCAATAACTTGAAGCTTTTGGGAGATGAATGCTGAACAAACCCAAGTTTTGAAACATTACTTTCTACTGTAAGTCTGATCTTTTTCTGAAGAAACCGTCTTTCATCCCGCTGTTTCACACGGTCCCAGTACTTGTTTAGATGCGTTTGTTTTGTTCTCTCCTCTCAGGTGCACTGCTCTTTCTCCTTGTCCGTCAGTTTTTAGGCATTATTGGAGCTGATCTCTCCTAGCAGCCAGTATGTCCTCATCCGTCCCTTTCCCTTCATCTCCACATCTCCCCTGAGCTCCAGCTGGAAGCAGTTGAATTCCTGCAGGATGGCTCGAGTGGCCTCTGAAACATGGATCTTCAGGGCTGATGGAGGAGAAATCAGCGCACAGTAGATTATGAAATAATCAGACACGCTCTTTTCTCTCTCTCTGTGTGTGTGAAGAAATATAGCCTTACAAATAAACTCTCTTTAAGTTCACTTGAGTTGCTTTTTATTTCATTATTATGACATTATCTGTATGCACAGTTTTTTTCTTTAAATATACTTTTAAGATTTGAAGTACACTAGAAGTGCATATTCATTACAATAAAGCCTTTTCAGGAATCCCAGTATGGCATTTTATACATATGTGACCCTGGACCACAAAACCAGTAATAAGGGTCAATTCTGTGAAATTGAGATATATACATCATCTGAATAAATAAGCTTTCCATTGATGTATGGTTTGTTAGGATAGGACAATATTTGACTGAGATGCAACTATTTGAATATCTGGAATCTGAGGGTGCAAAAAAATCTAAATATTGAGAAAATCGCCTTTAAAGTTGTCCAAATGAAGTTCTTAGCAATGCATATTACTAATCAAAAATGAAGTTTTGATATATGTATGGTAGGAAATTTACAAAATATCTTCATGGAACATGATCTTTACTTAATATCCTAATGGTTTTTGGCATAAAAGAAAAATCGATAATTTTGACCCATACAATGTATTTTTGGCTATAGCTACAAATATACCCCAGCGACTTAAGACTGCTTTTGTGGTCCAGGGTCACATATTATATTTTGTACTGAAATAAATGTTTCTTTAAATCCTGCTGTTTATCACTATATCATTATATTATATTTATATGGAAATTATTATTCCTGCCTGCACAGTTTTACTCAAAGTTCACTCAAGTGATTTATAAATGACAGACTATTTCAGATGATTCATTGAAAAGATGCAGCTTTCACAGGCAAAGAGGTTAGCCAATTATAACAGAGATCATTTACATATAGAAGGGTTAAAGATGCAGTAGCAAAAAAAAAGGTGGGGGAAAATTGATCAATTCCATCTGTCAGAAAGTGGGTACAAAATGATCATTTATAACTACACTACTGTTCAAAACTACCATTTGGGGTCAGTAACATTTAAAAAATAAATTAATACTTTGAAATGAAAGTACAGAAACTTATAATGTTACAAGAGACTGCCATTTATTTTCCAACATAAATACTGTTCTTTTGAACTTTCTATTCATCACAGTATCCTGTAAAATATATATCACGGTTTTTAGGGATGCCAATTTTGACAATTTTGGCCAATACCGATAACCGATAATACTTTAAAAATGAAAGCCGATAACCGATATGTTGGCCGATAAATCTAAATCCACATTTTTACATAATTTTTGAGAGCCTGATTACCAAAAAAGTCTCACCATTAAAAGGCATTAAACACTTCAAAATAAATCAAACATAAAGCAGCCTTACAAATAAATAAACTAATGCTTAAATAATGGAAACAAGTTACTAGACAACATTACTTACGTGTAAATTTTTTTTTTAAATCATGGATAAATTAAATGGAATAACCTCTGCACCGACAATAATTAAATTATTTTAATTAAACCATATTGTTGATGAAAATAATAAGATACAAATAAAAGTGATGGTTATTATTAATAATATATCAATGATTTTGAAAAAGAAGTATCTTAAATACCACTGTTTCAAATAGCAGCATTGCTGTTTGAGCTGAGTGCGCTGTAGCTGAAGAGCTGAATGAACACCAGTAAACTGAAGCGCATTGTTAGCGGGTTAATTAGGCAGTATGAGAATCAGATCTTTATACAACATAAACATAATATTATAACTTATTTATGACAAAAGGACACAAATGCACAAGTGAACTCGAACAAAGTTACGAGCTAGTCAGATGTGCAACTTGTGGACGCGCTCTTGGCTCTTCCCGTAACAGCGCGATGAAACACGCCAAATAAACCCAAATAATTGACAACTTTTTTTATTACGGTAATATTCTCTTTATAATATTATGTTTATGACATTCCCAATTATAGTTCTTAATGTTGTGCATTGCTGTTCAAGCTACGTTTGCTGAAGCTGAAGAGCTGAATAAACACCGGTAAACTGAAGTGCTGCCAGCTTATTTAACTCAAGGAAACGCATCATATATTCAGATATAATCAGATATTTATACAACATAAATATAATATTACAACTTATATATGTACAAAAAGACAAGGGAACTTGAACTAAGTTAAACATGCTAATCAGAATGTGTAACTTTGTTGTGGATGCACTTTTGGCTCTTCCCGCAACAACGCGCTGAAACACGGTAACCAAACCGAAATAATTCATAACGTTTTATTATAATAGTGTTCTCATTATAATGTTATATATATATACAGTGCCGTGAAAAGGTTTTTGCCCCCTTCCTGTTTTTTAAATTTTTACAGTAGCTAATGATCTCATTATAATATGATAGAATTGCCCAGCACATGTTGCAGTTCACTGTATTTTCCTTTTCGAAGTGATTCCAATAATATTTCAAGCAATTAAAAATGATCATGGTGAACAGTGCGCATCTGAAGTGTCTCTGCAGGAAATAATTATTTATCGGCTCTAAGATATCGGCCAAATTCTCTTATCGGTTCGATAACGATAACAGAAAAATGAACATTTATTGACCGATACTGATATGGTGGCCGATATATCGTGCATTCCTAACGGTTTTCTCAAAAATAATAATAAGATAATCAGCACAACTGTTTTCAGCACTGATAAAGATAATAAAAAGTATTTATTGAGCATCAAATCAGCATATTAAAATGATTTCTGAAGGATCATGTGACACTGAAGACTGGAGCAATGATGCTGAAAATTCAGCTTTGATCAGATGAATAAATTACATTTTAAAATATACTAAAATAGAAAACACTTCTTTTAAATTGTAATAATATTTTTTAAATATTACTGTCTTTTCCAAATAAATGCAGTCTTGTTGAGCATAAATTAATTATTTCTAAATAACTAAAAAAAATTCTACCAACAAATCTTTGAACACTAGTGTAAATTACAACTGTCGTAGTGCAATAAACCAGTTGACATTATACATATACATTATAAATGGACTTCAGGGAAAACTAAATGCCACAGAAGTGTGGAATACAACCCTTTCAAAAGTCTGGAGGCGCCTCACCTTCTCCATTGGATTCCATGCGTGAAGCTGTGTTGACTGTATCGCCAAACAAACAATACCGAGGCATTTTCAAACCAACCACCCCTGCACACACGGGGCCTGGACACATGAAAACACACACATAACCATCAGTCAAACCTCCCCATTAGTCAGCCATCAACACACAGATATGTCCTCAGAGAGGCCAGACCGCTCTGTGCTGTACTTGCACTCTATTAAACACTTTCGTGACCCCTGATCCTCACCGCTGTGGATGCCGATGCGTAGGCGAAGCTGCTGGTTGGGTCGGTGGCGGATTTGAAAGGAGTGAACGGCCTCCAGCAGAGCCAGAGACATGCGGGCGATCTCGCGTGCGTGCAGTTTCCCGTTCCTCACAGGAAGGCCTGACACAACCATGTACGCGTCACCGATGGTTTCCACCTGGGGGCGCCAAACAAAAACACATCGTTCGGCTCAGTGATGGGCAGAGTGTGTGAGAGACATCTCAGTCACTTAAAAATATAGATCTTAGTTTCTTTCTTCTGCTGAACACAAAAGAAAATATTTTGAAGAATGTGTGTAACTGAACAGTAGCCATTGACTTCCAGAGTACAGAAAAAATACAATGGAAGTCAATGGCTGCTAGAAACTGTTTGGTTGCTAACATTCTTCAAAATATCTTCTTTTGTGTTCAACAAAAGAAAAAAACTCGTACAGGTTTGGAACAACATGAGAGTGAGTAAATGATGACAGATTTTCATTTTGGGTGAACTATCCCTTTAAACTAATCGTTGAACAGGCGGTGAATGTAATGTCTGGAATCTGGAATTACCTTGTACACGTCAAAATTGTCGATGATTGCATCAAAGCAAGTGTAGAGATCATTCAGCAGTGTCACCACCTGTGGCGGTTGCAAATGGACAAATAGATAATCTATTTTAACTCAATACTGCAATGAGTGTTGCAGTAAAGTACAAAATTAGCCTATAGTTATTTGTGTGCGTCTCTTTGAGGAGTGTTTACTGAATGACCCCATTACAGAGGGTTTCTGACCTGCATCGGTGTGCTTTCGGCTGATAATGCGGTGAAGCCCACAATGTCACTGAAGTAGATGGTGACCGAGTCAAAGGCTTCTGCCTGCACCATCTCACCTCGCTTCAGCTGCTCAGCCACTGAGCTGAAACAAAACACACACACACACACACACACACACACACAATCAGATACAGCCTCACCGATTAAAAAATCAGTGCACATTACTTGGTATGAATAATTTCATACAACCATTTAAAAATATATATTTTTTAAACAAATGTTGCATCAGAACTGGACACCTCACATTTTAGTACTTACAGTACATACACTATTCAATAGTTTGGGGTCGGTAAAATCTTTTAATGTTTTTTAAAAAAGTCTCTTATGCTCATTACCGCTGCATTAATTTGATCAAAAATACAGTTTAAACAGTAATATTGCGAAATATTATTAAAATGTAAAATAACTGCTATTTGAATATATTTATAACTGCTATTTGATGCAAAGTTGAATTTTCAGCATCATTACTCCAGTCTCCAGTGTCACATGATCCTTCAGAAATCATTCTGATATGCTGATCTGCTTAAGAAACATTTATTATTATCATTGCTGAAAACTGCTTCATATTGTGGAAACTGTGATACATTTTTCAAGATTCTTTGATGAATAGAAAATTCAAAAACTTTTATTAGAAATGTTTTGTAAAATTATAAACATCTTTACTTTGGAAATATGTATCTGCCACACACAAAAATAAATAAATAAAAATGGTAATTGCAGATTTTCTCACAATTCAGAGAAAAAAGGGTCAGAATTGCGAGATAAATAAAACGGGCCTTCCATACTTTACTGTCACTTTTGAATGAAATGATGAATAAAAGTATTAACTGCCTTAAAAAAAATCTTACTGACCCCAGATTTTTGAATGGTATTACAAAACATATAGTCATATGACTTATGTGCACTTTGCAAATTGGTTCAAACAAATTGGGACTCACTGTGGGAGGATCTGATAGAGCAGAGCCTCAGCTTTACGTTTCTCCTCATGGTACGCCTGTGTCCTCTCCTCCACCAGCTCCTCCAGGTTATTGGCATACTGCTCCATACGGGACAGGAGGTTATCCAGGATGTTGGAACCATATCCACTGAGGCCAAAACAGAGAAGAGGAGGCAGAGACAAGAGATGTGAATGTGCGTCTGATGATCACTGCAGCACGGGCGGTGAGGCCACAAAAAGATCAGCTGAACACCCATAATACGCAAGGTTCATTATATAAATAATGATTAATAAAATATAATTATAAAAATATTATAAAAAATCATTCAATATTTTATTTGAATTTACTACAGATTAGAGGATAGTACTCCCAGCTCCAGCCACAGAATTCCACAACATGTTCTCAACAAATCAGTGCATAATAAGTGCAAATGTGGGCTATTCCTTGTCCACAGTTATGACATGCACATGATGCACATATTTCTGAAACTTTTAATGGAACTGCATTATCAGTGTCAATTAAATCAATGCTTTTCTAATTTTTTACAACAACCACAATAATAATAATTATTATTATTACAGAATTAATATATATATATATATATATATATATATATATATATAT